GGCAGGACGGGTTCCTCATTTCTGTCATCAGAGTTCAGAGGAGATAAGAGAGCAGAAAATGAGGGCTGTTGAGGGGAGGAAGGAGAACTTGGCCATCTCTGAAATCATGGCATCAACCATAGGGATCCCAGAAATGTCTGTCCAGTGAGGCATGCCTGGAGAAGGTGGGATTTAGAATGGGATGACAGTGGGATTTGCCAGTCAGGGAGGATTGCATTCCACAATTGGGCACAGCATGAGCCACTGCCATAGGGGCAGGTGAACCCAGAAGAGCCATCCCTCCAGCCTCTACTCTCTAGTCCACAGTTGTTAGAGCTCGGCCTCTGTAGCCACCTACCCCAGCTGGATACCTCAGAAGATAGCTCTAGTCTTGTGACCTATGGCTCATAGACATGTCCGCTGGAGTATAATATTCAACAGAAACTCATGTAGGACATATAGAAACTATTGACAAGTTATGTAAACCTTACCTGAACTCCCTGAAAATGATGAGAAGTTTTAAACTTCCCCCACCTTTAGACATCTCATTCAGCACACACTCCAAATGCCTTCCCTCTTACCCTCACCCTCATATATTGTCTTTCCTTTCTCATTTGGATTCCAACTCTCTCTTTCCTTACCCTCCATCCCTCTGTAGCTAAACATTAGGTCTAATTTTGCCTCTCTGGCTTCATTTTGTTTTATCCTCTACCATATGTGCACAAGTGCTTGTGTGTGGACCATCTGTTGATCTTTCTCTTATGTCCATTATGCTGGATCTGGATCCCAGAACCACCTCTCTTGTGCTGTGTGACCTGAGATGTGTTACATGACTTCTCTAGGTCTCACTTGTCTCATCCGCATCATGGGCAGAAGAACATCTCTTGGGGTTAAAAGGTGTAAGCATAGCATGATCCAAATAAGTGTGTGACCAATGTTAGCAATTGTCTTGATTAGTATTCTCCATGTCCTGTAGGCAGCAAGCCCACAGGCAGCACCCTCAGCTTATTCCCACAAACAGGAGGACAGGAGCTCCAGACCTTTAGTGACACAAAGATATGAGGGACAGGGTTTGTTTTCGGGCCAAAGGCAAGAACCAGTTAAGGAAAGCAAATGGTATGAGTCGAAATCACAAGGAGAAACAAGATTTAGTCTCAGGCATAACTACACCATTTGGCAGTTGCCCTTTTCTCCAAGAACCTTCCCTTTTTGGACACCTGCCCACAACGGATCCTGATCTCTAGGCAGTCCTGGGCAGCTCTGTCCACAGCGATTCTCTCCTGTCAATACACCATCAGCCATGGCTTCTTAAGACAGGCTTTGCTCCCTGGAGGCAAGATCTGTGGCCCATAAACTAAGAAAGCATTCACAGGCCAGGGATCTGACTGACCCGGGGTGTGCCAAGCACTTACACACATGACACCACCTTGTTTAGATAGGTATTGCTACTCCCATTAATTGGAAAGAGAAACTCTGAGAAGTTCCTTACTTGTTTCACAGTAATAACAGCTTAAAGGTGGCAGAGCCAAGATTCTAAGTTGGGGCTGTCTGGCTCTCTGCTCTGTTTCCTTTGCAGCATGGCAATGAGGATGCCAATGAGTAGAAGAAGCACAAAGCCTGAATCTTGTCTTTCCAGAACTTCCAATCCACCAATCCATTGGGAAGGTAAGACCCAGTCTTATACTCACAGTTGTTGCACAGCATAGGGATAAAGACTCATGCATGCTCACACACTCACAACAATGGCACACGCAGGGTGTCAGTCAAAGGAAACTCTACAGTTTTGGAGACTAGTGTTGAGCATGAGAGCAGAAGCTGGAACAGCATCTCAGAGGTTCCTGTGGGACAGGCACCAGCCCCTTAGTTTCTTGAGGGTGTTGAAAACTGAGCTGGGAATCTGGGGTGGTAACAGGGCCACAGGGGGCAGGGGAGTTGGTGCAGTGGCTATTGGCCATCGGTTACAGAAGTAGTGTTCATGTTTGAAGCATGCATTCAGCAACACCTGTGAATGCCTTTGTGTACCTGCTCAATATCAGCCTTGTGCACACTCACTCTTGCACACCCATGCATGCTTCCACACTCACATTCCCATGCTCACACGTATATATTCATGAGCTCTCACATTAGGTCATAACTCATCAAACACTATGCATAATTGCATGCTGTCAATCACACTCAAACACATGTTCACACGCACTCAGATACCTGAACACATAAGCACAGACCCTGTCATTGTTGCTCATGTCCATGGCCCCTGAGCAGAGTCCAGTCTGTTTTCAAGTCCAGTGGCCTGTCCTGTCACCTTTCTACAGGCCCCTGCCACATTCCAGTGGTGATATCCAATCATTGACCTTGAGTGAGGTTCCACAGGACAGAGTTCCAAGGATGAAGGCTGTGGTGCTGAGGGCTTAGAAGGAGGGGTGCCTTCCTTGGAGAATAGAGCTATCTATTTTGGGTAAAGAAAGTCCCTGGAAGGGGGTAAATGCAGGAAAAAGAATACCCACCCTTCCTGGAGCCTGAAAGACCCAAGTTCAATCCCCTCTTCCCTACCTTTTATTGAGTAACCTTGGCCAACTGACTTAACTTTTCTAAGGGAAAAAATGGGAACAATGAAGCTTCAAGATCCGAATTAGAGACTCAAGCAGGCAGACAGGGGTGGTCTGCCAACAGCTCTTCCATCTCCGCCTTCACAAGTATCCTGGGAAATGAAGGCATCTCTGTCACTTAGTCAGGTGGGGGTGGGGCAGACACCCTGCTCTGCCTCAGGGGGATCCCCAGCTGGTGATGGCTTTCACAGCTCTAGCCACCGGGAATCAGGTGGCAGGCCCCTGCTGGTGGATTTGGCCCAGTTCAGTTGGCTCTGCCCTCTCCTGCATGTTTTCACATGAGGTGCAGCTGCCTGGTGTTAATGAGAAATCACAGAAAGATCATATTTCTTTTTTTTACACACATGCACAGACAGATCACTCTACATTCTTTGATAGTAGTATTCTCCCGGGGGTGAGATTCACGGTCCATTCCTTCCTTCCTTCACTTAACAGTTGTAGAGCACTGAGTCCAGGTGGTGCTTATGACGGGTTCTGGGGACATGGTGGAAGACACTCCAGGCTAAGCAAAGCCTGCCTTGTAAAGCTTATTTACCAGTGGGAGAGACAGGAAATAGATAAGTGACCAAATGCACACAAAGGGCCACAATTGTTTTTAGTGACATGAAGTGAACCAGAAGGTCATGCTGTAGATGGGTTGTGTGTGTGTGTGTGTGTGTGTGTGTGTGTGTGTGTGTGTGTGTGTGTAAGAGAGACAGACGATTGGGGAAAGTGGAAAGTGGAAGACAGAGTGGATATTCAGGAAAGCCAAGGAATAATACCACCCAAATAACACATAAACACACCCAGCAGAGCAGTTGGTTTCTTGGTGGCTTCCAGGTTGCCTATTCCATTTCTGCCCTCTGTTTGTAGAAGCGATTCATTCTTGAGGTAGCTGACTCAAACTGGTTTGATTTCTCCAGCTAATCCCAGTCAGGCCATCAGAAAATATCAGTAAGATTTGGAAGGAGGAGGAAGATAAGAGGACCTCATCAGTTTTATTCTGATCCCACTCACAGGCCCAGTTCTGAGAGCTGGCTTGCCATAGTGGTTCCCCTTCTGCCCCGCTGTCGTGGGAACAGGGGAGACCTGGCTGTGGTGCTCACCATGGTCCCCAGGGCAGTGCCTGGTGAGGCACGGTTCTGGTGTGAGTGCAGTGCATTCTGATGGTGGTAACTCCAGCATTGCTGCCACACACAGCCTCCAGAGAGCTGCACTGAAATCCCATTCCACATCTCTCTGGAGTGTCTTCCATCACACCAGGCTCAAGGGATCCTTTTCCCTGGGAGGCCTGGATGGCGCTGGGTCTCTCTCAGGTACTACCCCAGGCCTGTGAGCCCAGGGGTCAGGACCATGGTGTAGTGAGAGACCATTCATCTCCAAGCCTGTGTCCTGGTTGTGGCAGTGTGACATCCCAAGATCTTGGGATAGTGTAAGGCTTTCAGTAGAGCAATGACTGAATTTCACGTCTGAAATTTAAACCACGCCACCCTTGGGACAATCTAGCTTATTTTCAGTTCTCTCAGCCAAGGTCTTATGACATTGCGTGGCAAGTGCCACTACTTGCCTTTAAATTTTGCAGCTACCTATTCCATACTTCTCAGGGTGTGTCTTGCCCTAGTATTCAGAGCCCAGCTCCATGGAGCACCCAACATGGTTGAGCACATATGTTGTGCCAAACACTATGCACGTTCTTTACACATGTTGCCCATTTTAATCTGACTGCTGACATGCAGCATGATGTTTTCTTCCTCTCCAGCAGATGGAGAGATTGAGGCTCAAAGACATTAAGTGCCCCAGGTCACCCAACGGGGAAAGGTGAGAACCACAACCTGAATATCTCTTGGAGATTTTGTAGAGATATGATTTATCCTTTGCCAGGCATGTGGAGAACATCCCAACCTATGTCATTCCTCTTTGTCCTGGGATCCCGACCAGGAGTGTGGGATGAGTCAGGACTGGGTATCTCACAGCTCAGGAACTAGGAGCAGCTCAGGTGACTCCTCCAGGAGGTCATTCAAAGTCAGTGCTTCTTGGTTCCTCCACCCTCTCCACCTCCTAAAAATCATTTGCTGAGATGCAGGGAGTGTAGATGACGCATACATGGATATGTAAAGAGATGGGGAGGTTCATACTGTCTGCTGTAACCTCCCAGTTTCTTTTAATGGAGCCTAATGGTTTTCTCTACTCCGGCAGGACAGAGGGATTTGGCCTCAATTTTTTGTTTAATTATAGGCAAAGACCCCAAGCTACTTCCCACCTGTTCAGGTGAATTTAGCTCTTAGTTTGGTTAAGTCAAAGTCATAGCATTGCTGAGTTTAATGGGCTTCCCAGAGCCATTCACCCCCTCAGCTGCAAAGTTTCCTTTCAAACAATACTCTCGGCATACTCCACCCAGCCCACCACCTCCTCTCTACCAACCAGAATATCCTGAAAGCTCCCCTCACCCCCCCACACATACAGAACTGTCCTGAATGCTCCCTTGGGACAATCTCAGATGCCAAGGTTCTAACTCAAAAGTCACGAGTGTGTTTGGAAATCCAAAGCAGCAGGAACTGGTAAAGTGATGGGGAGGAGTGGTCAGGCCAGAGTGAAGGCACCGTCATCCCCAAGTCCCGCCATGCCAAGAGCGTGGCTACCAGCCCCAGGGATGAGTAAAACCTAAAATTTGAGGAAGAACAGTTGGATCCTATTGTAACTAGGGACTAATTAGGACACCCCAATCCTAGGCTACCTAGTGGCCTTGGGCAGGTATAAAAGGTGGACAGGCTCAAAGCATACCATACCACTTGGCACTGCCACACTTCAGAAGCTCCGGTGAACTTGGGTAAGTCTGGCAATGTAGCGCTGCTCCTCACAGCCTGGCTCCACAGGCTCCCAAACTCGGACCAGGAGCTGAGGCTGGAGCTCTGGGTGGTTTGGGCATCAACCTCCTTTGTATCTTTTGGGACCAATCTGGCTCCATCTGCAAGTCCTGTGAGGAGTGTGGGAAGGTGGGCTGAGATGGGGGTGTGTCTGCTCAGAGGCCTGTGTCCCAGCTGGTGTTGAATCTTGCCAGGTTCAAGACAGACGTGGTAGAAGGAGAAGGGGGCACCAGGTATAGGGTAGAGGGACCTTCAGAACTGCCCTTTAAGGGAGAGGTGGATTCAGGGGGAAGGATAGCAGGCTCTCAGTGAGTGGAAGTGCAGAGGCCCGAGGAGGACAGAACAACAGGGACAAGAGGATGTGTCACAGTGGACAGGTCCCCCTCTGGGATTCAGGGAAAATGATTTCCACTGGCCTCCTCTTGGTGCTGAGCGGCTGGAGAACAATTATTTCCCTCTCTGAGTATTGTTTTCTTCACTGTAATTAAGAATTGAAAAGTTCCATTTCATCTCTAGGTGCCACTTTACTATAACTTCTCTTAGAGTGTATTTAAGATGGCTCTTTGCACCCTTTTTGAATTTTCAGACATTAACTTAATAACTTGAAACACACAGTGCTTATCATGAGCTAGGTACTCTGTGTGTGAACAAACTCACATAAACATGCATACATTTACATATGTTTGTATGCACCTTCGTAGGTATGTATTTTTATGTAGTTGTTATATCTACCAAGAGCCCTGAGTAAAGTGAGTGCAGAAAGTTAAGTAACTTGTTCAGTTACACAGCTAGTTAATGTTTTGCAGGTCTCAGATTCCAGGTAACCGTGGTCCAGATGCCATAGTCTTTGCCATAACAGCACATTACTTTTGTTGTCTTTCTCCCCAACTTTTCTACTCTTTCCTTCTCATTTATTTTTTGTTTGCTTCTCTTCCCTCCTTCTCTCCCTCCCTTGCTCCCTACCTCCGTCTTTCTCTCTCTCCCTTCCTCCCTCATTCCCTTCCTCCCTCACTTCTGTTCTTCATTTGTCTCAGAAAGGGTTAAAATGCTTTACAAACATTTAGCTACAATTTATATCACACACACACACACACACACACACACACACACACACACACACACACACCTTAAATTAGGAAGGTGATCAGGGGGCAAAGGAAAAGCAGAGCAGGACATGAACTTGGCAGGAGGTTCACCTGCGCCAGGAGGCTGTAAGCGTTCCTCACTTTTGTGTCTTTCTTTTTTCAGTTGCATATCCAGCCCAGAATGTCTCAGCAGAAGCAGAAGCAGTGCTTCCCCCCGATTCAGCAGTGCTGCCCCCCACCCAAGCAGTGCTGCCCCCCACCCATCCAGTGCTGCCCCCCACCCATCCAGTGCTGCCCTCCGCCTCAGCAGTGCTGCCCCCCACCCATCCAGTGCTGCCCCCCACCCATCCAGTGCTGCCCTCCGCCTCAGCAGTGCTGCCCCCCACCTCAGCAGTGCTGCCCTCCACCCAAGCAGTGCTGTCCCCCACCCAAGCAGTGCTGCCCTCCACCTCAGCAGTGCTGCCCCCCACCCAAGCAATGCTGCCCCCCACCCAAGCAGTGCTGCCCCCCACCCATCCAGTGCTGCCCCCCACCCAAGCAGTGCTGCCCTCCACCTCAGCAGTGCTGCCCTCCACCTCAGCAGTGCTGCCCCCCACCCAAGCAGTGCTGCCCCCCACCCAAACAGTGCTGCCCCCCACCCAAGCAGTGCTGCCCCCCACCCAAGCAGTGCTGACTCCCACCACAGCAGTGCCAGATGTACAGGGAGAAATAAGCCTGGACATGTGACCAGAGGCCAAGACCCAGGAAAAGCAGAGAGTAAGAAGTCAACCCCTTCCTTCCAAAAGCCAGATGCCAGCCACACTCACCCTCACCAGGGAGAAGGCAGCACCAGGATGGCAGCTTCCTCCATCTCTACCACTTATTAACTGGCAGCTGCAATTTCCATATCAGACAAGATCTGGTCCTAAACTGTCTAATCATCTTTGCTGACATGTACCTACATCGCCCTGTCGGCTTCTTGGAAACCTGGCTAGCCTGCCCGGACACCCTCCCCTCAGACTCTACCATCTGCTCCTGTTTTCCAAACAATTAAATACAATTCCTCTGGCACTAATTTCTGATTATTTTGTTGTGTGACAATTTTACATTCCTGCAGATTTGGTATTTCCTCCTCAAACCAGAGTCTCCAGGCAAGGGCTACATAGTGAAGGAGAAAGACTGAGCCAAATCAATTGTAATTCAGAGACAATCTCCAAGGGCTTATGGGTCAAAGGGAATTGAGTATAGGGCCTTAAACATTCACCCACAAATAAGGCCAGACATGTGCTCAGGACCCGCACAGGTGCCAACAGAGCAGCACACATGGCTGACAGTGGGTCTGAACACAAGCTCCTCTACCTCCTGGTTGGACCAAGAGGGTTGTCTGTACCAGTACTTGGAGCCAAGGTGATATTTGTGGGAGGAAGACTGGGAGCTGAGTGGTAATTAAAGATGCCTCTGGGAGAAATCTCGACCAGATGAAATTAGAGAGAGTTCTGTGAGTTCACCAGTGGAAACAAGTCCCAAGACAGGGATGCATGGACCTCTAGCTCAACTCTTGCTCCTCAAGATGCACCTTCCATTTGGAGAGGTCTTGCTAACTGCGACTTCCTCTTTGAAAACCCTTGTGTCAGAATGAAAACAAAGCC